CTCAATATTTATTGCAGCACTGTTCACAATAGCCAAGATTTGGAAACAACCCAGATGCACCACTATTGATGAGTGGATCCAAAAATTGTGGTACCTATATACTGTGGAATATTATGCAGCCATTAGAAAGGACAAAATAATGGCATTTGCAGAGAAATGGATGGAACTAGAGCGGATTATTTTGAGTGAAATAAGCCAAGAACAAAGAGACAAACGGCACACGGTCTCCTTGATATGTGGATGCTAAAGTCAAAATACAAGAAGATATGTCAAAGTAACAGGACTCAAGAAACAAAGGACAACCATCCATTCTGTCATATCATTGCTAAATGACTCCATGTTTTTAGCCATATATATGGTAGATATATACACAGAACAGAGGGAAGTCAGGAGGAGGAACAGAATAAGTGGGAACAGGTCACACTAAGCAAATGAAAGAAATGTAAACATCACCTGATGTGGAAAAAATAACGCATTGTCAAAGCTCATAGAATTCACAAACTGTATAGACCATAATAATGACAATTTGCCTTGTGAAGGTTAAAATGTGTTTGTGACTTTAACTAAGTATCACTATTCCACAATACTGTGAAATATGTGTAATCACCTAATCTCAATTAAAGAAAAAAGTGAGAGAAGGGATGGGTTAGGAGCGATGGGTGACAATGTTGTCAGACACTTTGTACTCATATACTGTTTTGTAGAACGGGAACTTCTTTGTACAACTACTTAAGATAATAAAAATTATCTTCAATTTCTCTTTGGATTTTGGTACACAGTGCATTAAGTGTGCATCCATGTGGGGAAGAGTGGATACCTGCAAAGACCTTAGTCATAATGTTCCAGCCTTTATTTCTGTAAGCAATGCTTTTCTTTCTCAATGGAGAGAACTTGTACTTCCTATATGAGATTTACTCCCATACATAGAAATACATTATTTTTTTTTAAAATTTGCTAATAAAATTGGCCCTTATATATTGACCTTGTTTAACCTTCTAATCTACTCACTCATTGTGATCATTTACTCCTTCAGGTTAGGGGCAGACAGGTGGAGTAACAATACAAGTGCCACCAAGGTCTCTAGATTCCTTTGTTCTAAGACATGCCATACATAACTACTGTACAGACACATGATTCCTGAAAGCATTTTGAGGGAGCAGAGTTATGAGATTGGAACGCATGGGTTATAGAGCTTTCCCAGTCACTTTGGACAACCATTCTCTGGATCTGAGCATCATTCACTCTTTCTTTCTGGATCTGAACTTCGTTTTCTCTTTCTTGTCATTTAGAAGGAACTTCTCTATTTACTTGTGTTTGCATACTTTGGGCAACTGTGACAGTATCAGGAGCTGCATGTCTTACACAGCAGAACATGTGGTCTCATTTCTGGTGGTGGCATATGAAATCAAGGTATTGGGAGCATTGGTGCCTTGGTTCCATCTTTTCTTTCCATTGCTTGTAGTGAAACCCAGGATTTGTGCCTGGTATACAAGGTATCACTATGTAGCTTGTGAACCTTCATCTTGCTGTCCCTGTCTCACAAGTTCTGGAATTACAAGTATGTACTACAGTGCTCTGCAGGATTGGTTCCTTGAGGGCAGGGTGGAAGAATGTGTCCAAGATTTCTCTCCTGTACTTGTAGATGGCACTTCTTCCTGTATCTTTCACACCATCTCTCTTCAGTGTTGGCCTATATGCCCAGCATCCCCTATTACATTGGGTTAAAGGGCTGGGAAGGTGGCTCAGTGGAGAGCGCTTGCCTTGCATGCATGAGGCCCTGGGTTTGATTCCTCAGCACCACATAAGCAAAAAGCAAAAAGCTGGAAGTGGCGCTGTGTCTCAAGTGGTAGAGCGCTAGCCTTGAGCTAAAGAGCTGAGGGACAGTGCCCAGGCCCAGAGTTCAGGCCCCACAACCGGATCCAAAAAAAAAAAAAAAAAAACAGAACAAAACAAAACCCAATACATTGGGTTAAAGTCTATGTTTATAACCTTAACTTACTTTCATTACTTATATTTAAACAATGTTTCATGATCACAAGGGCTCAATAGCTATGTGCATATCACCATATAAAATGATGCTTACCAAAATGAACTCCAAGAAATAGAAACAAGAGGTTTTTTTATTGTACTGTTTACAATTTTTTTCTTTTGATTTATTCTCTTTTGCCACTGTTTTTTTTTTTTTCTGTACTCTTTGTCTTACATATAAGTTTTTGGATTTGGGGAGGGCAGGGGAATCACAGAAATGGTGGGACAAAGGATGAACCAATTCAGCAGTGATACTCACTAGGCAATATGTTGGAAATGAACTTTACAACTTAGAGGGAGAAAATGAAAGAGGAAGTTCAAAAAGAAATTTATTCATTGTCTTACTTATGTAACTGTAACCCCTCTGTACATCATCTTTACAATAAAATTTAAATAATTAAAAAATCTTGGGGCTGGGAAGGTGGCTCAGTGGTAGAGCGCTTGCCTTGCATGCCTGAGGCCCTGGGTTCGATTCCTCAGCACCACATAAGCAAAAAGAAAAAAGCCGGAAGTGGCGTTGTGGCTCAAGTGGTAGAGCGCTAGCCTTGAGCTGAAGAGCTGAGGGACAGCGCCCAGGCCCAGAGTTCAGGCCCCACAACTGGACCCAAAAAAAAAAGAAAAAAAAAAATCTTATGTCAAAGTCACCAGGCATTCTGAGGCACCATTTTAACATATGAGTTTAAGGGAAAGAAATCCCATAGAACTCAGTGAAAGCTCACCAAAGGAAAGGGAAAAAAATAACCAGGGATTGATATGATCAAGAACTGAAACAGGAAAGAAAAGTTAGGGGAAGGAGCTTGGATAAATTCCTTTCTCTATTATGCTTTTCATTCTTATAAAGGTTTAGTTGGAAGTTCCTAAGTTGAATACTATTCCTATGAAAATGTCTGCATTCTCTCAAATTCAAGTAATTACTTTTTTTAAAAAAAAATTATTGTGCCAGAGCAAAGTCAGCCTGGAAGGCCAGGCTTGTTTGATATCTACTGAGTGGTTTGTTTTGAACAAAGAAGCAGCAATTAGAAGTGTGGTCACAAATAGATGAGGCCCCAGGGAGCAGAGATAAACTAAGAAATATCTTGTCTTATATACCAGCTTGGCTCCAGTTCTGCCTTTTTATTCACTGAAACTTTTCCAAAATTGAGAACATTTGCTCAAATTTAGGATTCTTAGGGGCTATTAACCTAACAAAGGGAAATTATGCATGGTCACCAGAATATATTTTGAGGAACTAAACCCCATATACTGGAGGGAAACATAAATTGCTTCTCTAAGTGCTTCTCATTTTCATTTTTTGCCCCTGTATGAAGTCTTCAGAATTTGGAGACTTGTTTTCCAATGATAAAAGCATACACACTATCCAATCTTGTTTAGTGTTTAAGTAAGCGTAGCTTTGAGGCATTGTGGGAAAGAATTAGTAAACATAAAAAGAGTAAAATATGGGCTGGGAAGGTGGCTCAGTGGTAGAGCGCTTGCCTTGCATGCTCGAGGCCCTGGGTTCGATTCCTCAGCACCACATAAGCAAAAAGAAAAAAGCCGGAAGTGGCGCTGTGGCTCAAGTGGTAGTGCGCTAGCCTTGAGCTGAAGAGCTGAGGGACAGCGCCCAGGCCCCGAGTTCAGGCCCCACGACCGGACCCAAAAAAAAAAAAAAAGAGTAAAATATGAAATCATGGCAGTTATGATCCACAGAGCACATATAGTAATCTCAGAGTAGGGTTATTTATATATTTTTAAAAGGACTTCTTTTCCTAAATATAGCTAAGTTTAATATAAATCAGAACCTATCTCAATGTTAGTCTTTGATTCAAACAATTTTTACATAGAAATTAATACAAAGACAAACCAGAACAGTCCTTGTCAATTGATAGGCAAGCCAGTCACAACAAATGGAAGAAATACACGTAAATCAAATATCACCATCTAACAGTACGCTTATCACTTTGCTAGAACAGTGGATGTTACTTGGTGTTAAGTTTGGTAGATTTAACAGTAAAAGTTGCAATTATTTGTTTTCATGACAGAATAACAGAATTACAGCTAGAAAGAACTAACATGCCAGACCAAACTTCTTTATCTGACCCATTTTGGGGAGTCCAGGTAAGATCCAAATTGCTTTCTCAATTATTAATCCCTCAAATAAATGATACTTCAATACCTCACAATTTCTTCATCTCCATTAATGTGTAATCAATTATTCTTCAATGATTAATTAGTCTGTATCCCACAACTTCAATTTCAGCAACTTTTCTTTGTCAACCCAGTGTTAAAGCTGTGCCTTTTATATATTCCTTGTCATTTGCATCAAGATCCTAAATGAAGCTCCTCAGAAAATCTCTCTAGGAAAAAAAAAATCTCCATTTTTTTTTTTTTTGTTAAGAGGCCTGCCATCCTGAAATCGTATAGGAATGGAGTGTTTTGATAGCAATATGAAAATTAGAAGATGTTTCCATGGGTGGGGGGCACAAGAAACTTTCAGGGGAAGGCTACCTGACTGAAGCGAGGAGGAAACTTGGTCATTGGATTTTTATTTGCTCAGCTATTTCTGTACAAAAGGTACCCGAAGTGCTTCTGAGAGACGCTCTCACTTTCCCCAAGTCTGAACCTCTCCCCCCAAAAAACTGAATAGATTCAATGGCAAGGATAAATCTGACCCCTGAGTTAAGGCGGTTACTGGGAATGAGTTGTGCTGCTCAGAAAAAAAAGGGAGTGGGGTGGGGAGGTCCTTCCTCAGGGGTCCCAGTCACGGTTCCCTCTCATTTTAGTGACAACCAAACCACCTTTACAAGAACAAAGCGGAGCAGCAAACAGCCCTGCTGGACAGGGGCCCCCAGGCCAGGTGGGGTGCCTTCTCTTAGCCTCTGCTGGACTCCCCCCCTAAGGTCACCCCTGCATCTCCCCAAACCCCAACCAAGCGGCTTTGCCCACCTCAGCCCTTCTCCCCTCCTCACAAACGGTTTGGGGCCACTGCCCCCTCCCTACCGCAGAAAGCCTTCCATGCCGCGGCGCGGGGCTCCGCGCGCCCCACGATCCCCGCCCGCGGGACTGCGCCGCGCCCCGCCGCCCGCCACGCCCCGGCCGCTGAGAGACCGCTGGTCCGCACACACTTCTCCAGCCGCCGCGGCCGCCACGGGGTTAAGGCTACAGAGAGGGGCAGACATGCCAGTCTCTCCAGCAGACCCCCCTCCGGCCAGACAACTCCCTCGACTCCCGTCTCTGCCTCCCAAACTTGAGCGGCGTCCCGGGCCCCGCCCACCCGCGTAAGGCCGGGCCCGCGCGCACCAGTGGCTCTCAGGTCCCCCGGCCTCACCCACACTAGCCCTCCGCGCCCCAGCCAGGCCTCTCGGCACCCGCTGCCACCGGCCACCTGCGGCGCAGCCGCGCCCTCCCACAGCCCGAGACCCCAGCGGGTGACTTCCCCCACCGCCCAAAGGAGCTTCCACCTTACCCGGGTGCCGCCGGCCCCTGAGTGCCTACAGCCCCCAAGAAAACCCCTCCAGAGGAACATCGCTCCCCGCAGGCCCGGCCTGGCACACCCCTTCCCCTGCAGCCCACCAGGCGTCTCTTTCCGAACATAGCTACTGAGCAAGAGTCGGCACAAGTAGATAAGGTGTGGAATAGCAGCAGGCAGCCTCTAGAAACAAAGACCTCATCACAGACTGAACACCTTAACTGTACATTTCTTTCCTTGGTTGACTACTTGTCAATTGCTTCCAGTGCCTATTACATGTTTACAGGCCAAGAAAAAAAATGTACTGCATGTATTCCTACTTTCCATCAAATATTTTTCCTGGTGCTTAAAAATGATTATGTGTCTATTAGAAAAAAGTGCAATTATTAATTTAAAGGTATCAACAACATATAATACTTTTTTTCTAGTCAGAACTTAATTCAGGGAAGTGGCGCTGTGGCTCAAGTAGTAGAGCACTAGCCTTGAGCTGAAGAGTGCAGGGACAGCGCCTAGACCGAGTTCAAGGCCCACGACCGACAAAAAAATAAATAAATAAAATATATGTGTATAAATATCTATGGGCTGGGAAGGTGGCTCAGTGGTAGAGCGCTTGCCTTGAATGCCTGAGGTCCTGGGTTCGATTCCTGGGCACCACATAAACAAAAAGAAAAAAAGCCGGAAGTGGCGCTGTGGCTCAAGTGGTAGAACGCTAGGCTTGACCTGAAGAGCTGAGGGACAGTGCCCAGGCCCAGAGTTCAGGCCCCACGACTGGACCCAAAAAAAAAAAAAAAAGAACAATTCAGATTAAAATCAAGATGTTAAACATTCCCCAGCAACGAGTTCTTTGCTGAATATGGTTTCTAAACTTAACTCCTAGTTTGAATTTTAAAAACAGTAAATGACTGCACAATTAGGCTGAGAAGCTAGGTAGGAACCACAGGACAAGAAGGTACTCCAAGTTTCTCTAAAGACAGAAGTGTCTTATCTATTGGTGAGAGACCAAGAAAACAGCCTGACAAGACCTGTACTTGTGTGAGGCTGCTGGTGAGCACCACACCAGCAAGGAAATGATGATGGAGAGATGGAAGAAATTCTCTTAAATAACACGAGCAAACATATACTCAAAATAAATAGATGGGTTTTGTGGTTGGAATATTGGATATGACGGGGATGCAATTAGACTAGGGCTGAAAACACGTGTCTTTTGATTCTAGGCCTAAGGGTTTCAAGACTGTTCCTCCAAATTTTGGAAGGGAATGAACAAATTGTCTCATGTTTAAATATAATAGGTTTAAGCTGGGTGTTGGTGGCTCACACCTATAATCCTAGCTTCTCTGGAGGCTGAGATCTGAAGGTTGTGGTTCAAAGCCAGTCTATGCAGGAAAAGTCAGTGAGACGCTTATCTCCAATTAATTACCACAAAACCAGAAGTGGTGCTGTGGCTCAAAGTGCACTAGCCTTGAGCAAAAACAGGTCAGAGAGAGTGACCAGGCCCCGAGTTCAAGCCCCACAACCAACTATATATAGTTGGTAATATATATCTATATATATGCATATATGTAATATATATATATATATATACACATATATATATATATAATGGGCTTAAGACATTTGATGAACAAATACCAACTTTCTGATTCTATAATAGTAACTAAGATGCATAACAGTTCACATTTTAATTTGTAAACCTATGACCAAAAATTAGCAGCTGGGCACCAGTGGCTCGAGCCTGTAATCCTAGCTACTCAGGAGGCTGAGATCTGAAGATCACGGTTCAAAGCCAGCCAGGGCAGGAGAGTCCTTGAGACTATTATCTCCAATTAATCACCAGAAAATTGGAAGTGGCCCTGTGGCTCAAATGGTAGAGTGCTAGCCTTGAGCTGAAGAGCTCAGGGACAGCATCCAGGCCCAAAGTTCAAACCCCACAACTGACAAAAAATTAAAAATTGACCCCATATTAGCATCAGTTGTGAAAACCTGGTAGCTTAAGATTTGATCAAATTTACCTCTTGTTTTTATGTCCCTTTCTTTTTCTAAACCGAGATTCTCAAAAGTGAACATACAGTTAGATTAAAAGATTCCTGATAGTATTTACTACTGTTTGCAATTCAGAAAGTCAGTGAATTTAATGAGTTGAAAACGTCAGAATTATCAGGGAGAAAATAATTTACCTCAAGACCAGAGTCTATATTCCTTGCTAGAAATCTATTTTGCAAATGTATTTTCTATATTTTGTAAGTATCTGCCACTTACCACAGAACTATCCAGAATTTTAAAAAATCACAAACTTATAGAACTAAGAAGATTAGAAGGATCAATGTGATCATACCAAAACACCTCAGAGTGCAGGCCATTCAGCCTGCACTTCATCTTCTTTCCTGATAAACAGATATTTCCTGTTTAATTCACCACTGAAGCCTCCTGAAAAATACATTGTGTTGATTAATATTCTTGAGTGCGTGACTAGGCATCCCTTGGAAGATATAAGGGTTCCAGTCTTTGGGAAAGAGCTGGAGAAGTCTGTTTCTACAGCAGAAGAGAACGCCTCTGGTCCCTTCTGATAAAGTCTTTCTTCAGTATGTCCCACTAATACAGGTAGCTTCTCCGAAGTTTTCAATTTCATTCCACCACTTTTCATATATTTCTGATTCTAAAACTTCCTACTATCTCCTCTATAAGCTATGTTTGACCTGTTCTTTTTAAAGTGACGACACTCAGAGTGAATCTATTTCCCTTGTTACCTGCCAGACTAGGGGACAGAATTTTATCTTACTAAATCTATGCAACCTTGAAAAAATCGCTTAAAAAAGAAAGATGATGCAGGAAAGTCTGTAAGATTCATCTCCAATAAACTACTCAGAAAAAGCCAGAAGCGGTGCTGTGGCTCAAGTAGTAGAGTGCTAGCCTTGAGTAGGGAGGCTCAGGCCCTGAGTTCAAGCCCCAGAACTGGCCAAAAAAAAAAGGAAAGATGATGCTAGTGAGAGATGCTTTAAATAGCACTAGTGGTTAAAGTCATGGACTGCCTCCCACCAGCAAAAGTGTTCTCAGAATACACGTGCAAGGAACTAGAATGGTGAGAGTGATTTGTTATATTCCCTCTGCAATTGAATCTATGGTAAAATAGCTGTTGTTGTTTCCTGAAAGAAAGCTAAGTAAGCATTCATTAACCCTGACAAGTTCCATGTCTTCGAATTTGCTTAGTGAATCAAAACTATCCGCTGTAGTAATTTTCATTACATGTAAGGAGAAAGAAAGCTTAAATATCCTGGAGATATTTTGTTCCACTTTTATGACAGTATGGAATGATGAACTCATAAAACCAGGTCATAAAAATGGTATGTTTATGATGCTGTTTTCAGAAACTACAATATTATGGAAACATCTTCTCATTACTAAAAGCATTTGTACTTTTCCCAGAAACCTAAAAACTAAAGGATTCCTGAGCAGTTGGGAAATAAAGTCTTTTCTACCTTAGTAAATGAACTGCAAGATTTAGGCTCAAGGGGGAACATTTCTCAACTTACTTCAGGTCTTAAGGACATAAAAAAACTTACTTCAGGACATAAAACATACTTCTTTACCAATACCCTAAATAGAATTTAATCTTCAAGTATCCTAAAATGTAAATCTAAAAAGAGATATAAGTTGAAGAGTTACATTTCTGCTATAATTAAGGGCTATCCTTTAGGTTTGTATCTTAGAATACAAAATAGTAAGTTTTCATAATAGTGGATAGAAATTAATGGGAAAGTAGCAAGCTATTCTTTATTATATTAAAACAAAACTTTAAAGAGAAATAACATTCATAGCTCATGAATATAAGTTGTCCTCATACTTTGTGAATTTGAATATGAGTTACTACAAACTTAGAATACCTTAGAAACATTTATTAAAATTTAGAATATGCATAGTTCTCAACCAACAATACTGACTTTATCATCAGAAAATATGTGTAAGACAAAACGCATGTATAAAGCTTCTGGTAGCACACTATCAAATAAAACAGTAGAAAGGCTAAAATGTGTATTATTATAATCAATAAAATATTAAATATAATATAAAATATAGATTTGATGTTGATGTTAATACTGGAAGGATGGCTTTTAATTAGTAACAAAGATTAGAGTATAACATATATAACATGTTTCCTTTTCACTAAAAAGTAAAAACAAAAACATTACATATGTATTTTTGTTAGTAAAAGCACAGGGCTTTTACTTCTGATTACCAATGGGCAGTCAAGAAAGGAATTTCACCCACAGTAATCTTCTAAAAATCATTCCATGCAAAGGAAGCAGAAGGATGTACCATGTACACAGAGCTCCACCTGGCTTTGCTCCTCAGCCCCACCTCCAAGTCACCACTATGTGCAAATTCTGGACTGAACATAGCAACTCAGGGAAGTAACATGAAAAGGGCTTTTTGGGGGGGGGGGTGAGGGAGGGTTGGTCGTGGGGCTTTGAACTCTGGGCCTGGACACTGTTCCTCAGCTTTTCAGCTCAACACGAGTGCTCTACCACTTGAGCCACAGCGCCACTTCGAATTTTCTGGTGGTTACTTGGAGATTAGAGTCTCACGGACTTTCCTGCCTGGACTGGCTTTGAACCGGGATCCTCAAATCTCAGCCTCCTGAGTAGGTAGGCATGAGCTACCGGTGCTCAGCTAGGAAAAGGGCTTTTGATATCACTGTTTAATCTTTTTATCATTGACTTTTAGTACTTGGAATTTAAAATGAAATTCCCAAAATAAAACTAAAAGAGTTTAAATATTTAGTTTATTTCTGCCATAGCATGTTTTTTTATGGTTGTTTTCAGGAAGAAACTTTCTTCTTGAAAAATATTTTATTCTCTTTAAGTAGTTTTACAAAAATGTTGCCATTCAACAAAGCAGTTTATGAATACATTGTGTCCTCAGTCTCAGCTTTTCAACACTCACCCAATCCACAGCCTTTAACCACACTTTCTTAATTCTGTAGGCTATGTATTGAATTATTTTACCATTTAACAAAACAGTTGACATATATAATGCATCTTGATTTGTCATCCCCTCATCACGCCCTTTCTATCCACCCTCTTTCTATGCCTTATTTTTCTTGATTTTGTGGTATATACAATGAATTCTTCACTGCATTCTTTCCCCTTCATTTATCTGCTCCTCTCTGCCTTGCCACCTCTCACCCTCCCCTCAACTACCCATTTCCTGAAGCTTATTTTGTTGAGTTTTGACTTAGTCTTTCTAAAGAATTATACTATTTGAGTTCTCCCATACTCTATTATACATCAGTTGATTCATTTGTAGCTGCTTGCGTAACATCCAGTGTGTTTACTTATACTCTAACTAAGAGAAACCATGCAAGCTTTGCTTCTCTGAGTCTTGTTTACTTCCCTTAGTACAATTTTTTCCTTACAAATGGCATGATATCATTCTTTCTGATGGATAAGTAGCATTCCATTATATATATATATATATATATATATATATATATATACACACACACACACACATATATATCAACTTTCTTAATCCATTTATCCAGGTTGATTCCATATCTTGGCTAAGGTAAATGAACAGTGTTGCAATGGACATGACTGTGCTGGAAGCTTTAATATGTCTTTATTTGTGCTCTATTGGATAAATGCCCAAGTAAACCATGTCTAGTTTTTTGAGAAACCTCCATGCTGCATTCCAGAGTGGTTGAACAAGCTTACATTCCCACCAGCAGTGGCCACATCCCTGCCAGCATCTGTTATTGTTAGTCTCTCCATAATGGCCATTCTAATTGGGATGAGGTGGAATTTCAGTGTTGTTTTGATTTACATTTCCTTCATAGCCAGAGATGTTGAATAGTTCTTCATGTGTCTATTGGCCATTTTTACTTCTTTTTTTGAGAAGTCTCTCTTTAAGTCATTAGTCAAATTATTAATTGGGTTTTTGTTTTTTGAGGGCTTATTCTTTAAGGGTTTAATTTTTTGAGCTCTCTATATTCTGGATATTAGGCCCTTGTCTGGTGTATGTCTGGTAAAAATCTTCTCTTGTCTGTAATCTTTCAACTTAGCTTGTTACCTGCGTCCTTTGCTGAACAGAAACTTTTAAGTTTGATGCAATCCCATTTATCGTCTTTCTTTGCTTTGTTGTGTTTCGGCATCTTTGCTTAGAAAGTATCAACTGTGCTTTGGAACCCTAATGTTTGCTTATGTCATCCTGAATAGTATCATGATTCTGGTGCCCTGCATCTTGTATATACATTTTTCTAATTTGGGGAGGGGAAGGGAAATAACAAAATGCTGAAATAAGGATACAGGTTGACCCATTGTAACAATGAGATGTACAAGACACTATGTTGAAAAAAAACTTTACAACTTCACAGTAGGGGGGAGGGAGGAGTTGTGGAGGTGGGGAGGGAAGGGATGGTAGGGGAAAAACAAAGGAGGAGGTAACAAGGCTGGATAGGAAATGTACTCATTACCTTACTCATTAACTGTAACCCCTCTGCACATAATTTTTACAATAAATATATATATATTTTAAAAAGATAATTCCTAGGTATTTTTATTTTTGATGCTATTGCAAATGTTTCAGTTTCAATCTTCTCATTGTTGATACTTTGCCAAAGTTTAGGATTAGCTCTAGTACCTTGGGGGAGGAGTCTACAGGTTCCTTTAAGTACAGGATCATGTCATTTGCGAAAAGGTATAGTTCTACTTCTTCCTTCCCTATTTGGATCCTCTTTGTTTTTTTCTTGCCTTATTGCTCTTGCTAGGAATTCCAGTACTCTGTTGAAGAGGAGTGGAGAGACTGGACATCCTTATCATGTTCCTGATTTTAGTGGAAATGTTCTTTTCCCCACCATAAAGAATGTTGGCTATAGATTCTTTTTGTATTTTTATGTATTTTTTATTTTATTGTAAAGATGCTGAACAGAGGGGTTACAGTTAAACGAGTGAGGCAATAAGTACATTTCTTGTCGAACATTGTTACCCCCTCCTTTTGTTCTCCCCCCACTATAGGTTCTTATAATTAACAATAAAAATGTTACATTTCTTTTCATCGGTCTATGCAGTCATGTACCTTTAATTTTTTTCCCTGACATTTTTTGTCTTAAATCTGTTCCCAAAGCCTAGACATTGTCAGCTCTGGTCAGGATTAGGAAGATCAGAGTGTGCCTTCGAATAATTCCACGGTCTGCTTCTGTCTCTTTTTACTCTCTTCCGTTTTCTCTCTTCCCCTCTCTCCCTCTCTCTCTTTCTCTCTCTCCTACTCCCTCTCCCTCTCTCTCCCCTCTTTCTCCAAAGTGTATCTTCTCATTTTGACTTCCCATTTCACAGAAGATATCTTTCATTCAAAGATTCTGCCCAGAAAACAATAACAAATGGGACCTTTAAAAAACAATTTTTAAGAATTATTCAAGATACTCATCTTTTCTTCTCCTTGTACTCAAAGTGCCGACTATGGAATTATGTTTTTCTGTCCAAATACAAATTAGGAAAATTAAACCTCACCTCTCACAGTTTATACACAAAAGGAGCTTGAACTTCCACACTGTTGTATGATTATGTAACTGCATCCCCTATAAATCCAGACCTAAAGAAAATGAGGATTGTTGAGTTGGGATGGGAGGGAAAACCTGAAAGTGAGGGAAAGGGTAACATTATCCCAGAAGAAACATACTCATTACCGAAACCCCTCTGTACATCACTTTTATTATAACAATAAAGACTAAAGATAGAAATTTAAAAACCAAAGTGAAGCTTGTGTTTTTTATTTCACTTTTCTAAGTGCTGGACTAACAGGCATCTGTAATTGCTCACTGGATAAATGAAAGTGGAAGTTATAGGACTTCAAATGAATCCTTTTAAGTCAAAACATATGAAATGATTACCCTCTTGAATACCGGTTCATCTGTTCTGAAATGTCAACCTCAGAGATTACATGTGAGAATAAAGTGAAGGCACTAAAGTAAAAATAATTACGCACTGTAAAGTAGTATGACAGCAAGGACTGCATTGAGGTGATTAAAACAGAACCGCTTCTGAAACTGACAACCAAAAGAAGTCTTGTAAGCCCACTACTAGAAATGACCCATAATCTTAGAAACACCCAGGTGAGGGCTCAAGGTCAAAAGTACAGAGCTTAATGTATTCACTCTATTTTAAGTTTATGTTGGGCAGGTTCCTCCATTTTGCTTTTCTTTTTTATTAAACAAATGGAGGTTTTTATTGCTTTTGGTCCACACTCAGAATTTCACATTATCTGAATAGTCCAAGGCCCCCTGGGCTGGGGTGGGGTGGGGGGAACAGATTGAACTGGAAGGGCAGAATGGAGCTGGTCAGACTCAGAACGGGAAGACCTGAGGCGCCCGAGGAGGCACTTGTGAAAGTCTCTGTGTGCTCTGAAACATTCGGAACTCTAGGCTGTTGGGAATGGTCAGGGAGATTCCTAGGGGAACCCAGTTCTTAAGAGGCCTACGATATTTCGGACTTCCTCCCACTCCAGGGGGGTCAACTATCCAGCATCCTTCTCTATTAACCTTATGAAAGAAAGAAAGAGAAAAAGGAAGGAAGGAAGGAAGGAAGGAAGGAAGGAAGGAAGGAAGGAAGGGGAAGGAAGGAAAGGGAAGGAAAGGAAAAGAAGAAAGGAAGGAAGGAAGGAAGGAAGGAAGGAAGGAAGGAAGGAAGGAAGGAAGGAAGGAGAAAGAAACTGGGCACTGTGGCTCATGCCTATAATCCTAGCTACTCAGGAGGCTCAAATCTGAGGATCCTAGCTCAAAGCCAGCCAGCCAGGAAATCCTACGAGACTCTTTCATCTCCAATTAACCACAAAATAACCAAAAGTAGAGCTGTGACTCAAGTGGTACACTGCTAGCCTTAAGCAGAAAATGTTGAGGGACAGAACCTTTGAGTTCAAACCTCAATATTGGCAAAAAAAAAAAAAAAAAAAAAACTAAAACAAGAGCTGGGAAGGTGGCTCAGTGGTAGAGCGCTTGCCTTGCATGCACAAGGCCCTGGGTTTGATTCCTCAGCACCACATAAGCAAAAAGAAAAAAGCCGGAAGTGGCGCTGTGGCTCAAGTGGTAGAGCGCTAGCCTTGAGCTGAAGAGCTGAGGGACAGCACCCAGGCCCAGAGTTCAGGCCCCACGACCGGACCCCCCAAACACACACACACACACACACACACAAAACCTAAAACAAAACCAACACACAGACACACACAGACACAGACACACACACACACAGAGTTTCCTTTCCTTAAACCTACCTTTAAACTTCTGCCCTACAGAAACCACAAGCTAATGAAGAGATGAAGGAACAGGAAGTCATTTGAGGGCTGGTCCTTAACTGGCCCTCACTGTCTTAGAGCCTTCTGGGAAATTTGCTGCCAGGCAACATGCCCCACCCATTGACCCCTCATATCTATCCAGGGCTCAGTCCTGCAAAGGAAGTCCTGTCAGAATGGGTCAAAGCAGCCCCAATCGCCCACAGACTCTCTACGGGCGGTACTAAATATTTAAAAAAGAAGAATGAGAAAAGAGAAAGATAAACCATAAAAACCCCAAACCCTAGACAGGGTAGTGCAATAGGGAGTTGGCATTCTGGGGTGCTTCCTCCTGGTAGAAGGGCAGATATTCTGAGGCCTCTTGGGGGTAGTCAGTGGCACCAGGTGGAGCGCCATCTGCCGCAGAGCCTTGTGGGCAATTCTTGGGATCATATATCTGGCGGCCCAGACCAAAGGCCTGGCTACTGTGATTGGCACCCTGTGTGTAACCCATCTGCAGGGACATGGAGGAGTTGTCACACTTGTCTGTCCCCAGCTTGGTGTCATAGATGTGTCGCCGGGTCCCCGGAGCCGTCATGCCCACCTGACTGGCGCACTTGTTCGTGCCCATCTGAAGGCTGATCATGGAGTGGTCCATGGGGGGCAGGATGTGGTTCTTGGGTCGTAGAGATGCCTCCTGGTGCCATAGGCTGTCATACCCAACTGACTGGCACATTTTTCGTTGCCCATCTGCAGCCCAGTGACACACTGGCCGGCCTTTGTGGTGGCATCATCAAAGTTCCGCTGTTGCTTCTCTGAGTACTTGACCCCGATGTCCACGCCACTCTGCAGCCCTTTCCCTGCCAGTGCGAGAAGCGACACCTGAACCTGTGTCATGTTCCCACTCTCGAACAAGTCGTTAGCCTCACACAGGTCCACAGGGTTCATGCCGTAGCTGACCATGGCCTTGACGAAGTTGGAGAGGTTTTCTAGCTGGTGACAGTTCTGCATGGAGCGGCTGATCTTGGAGACAGAGCCCGGCTGCAGCTTGTTCATGAATGTGCACAAGATCACCCCGTCCTTCAGACCCTTCTGGAAGTTGGGGCCAATGGAGAGGCCCCTGAGCCCTTCGATCCAGCTGCGGAGCTCAGCCTCCTTCTGGGGGTCATATTTGGAAGGAGCCGGTTCTTGAGTTCGGCCGCCGAGAGTCTGTTCGACGTTGTTGAACTGCGTGGAGCTCATGGCTGGAGGTGCGGCGCTGTGGGGACGGGCATGTGACTTCCAGTTTCTAAAAAATTCTCTACCAGGGAAAGAAAAAACAGGAGAGGTATGTGCGTTAAGACCAGGGAGTTGGTCAATAGATCACCTAGGGACTGTGTTCATAATTGGTGGCAAGGAACAGCATTCAGGAATGGGTAAAATGGCTGGGCCCATTTGGGAAGGATAAAAGGAGCAGAACACATGTGGATAGAAGCACTATATTGCTGCACAGTGTGGGTTTTGAGAGCCAAGGACTGTTTTGAAGGACAAAGTGTTGGTTTAAAACTAGGGAAGAACAGGGAACACTGGGTGGTGGTGGGTTACTCACTGGGGGCTAGCCCCATCAAAGCTTCCCTGGTGCAGTCTACAGGGATCTGGGGAAATGGATAAGGGTCAATGCTGTAGATTGTTGGAGAGCTGAAAATCATTGCCTTAGAGGTGTGAATATCCATATCAGCAATGTCATTATCCCTAGTCAGCTGCTTCCTGGTCACAGGAGAGGCTGCCTTGGGAGTGAGAATAGTAAATGCAGTGATGGTGATGCCATTGTTCACATTGTTCCTTCCTGGTCAGTGGAACCACAGGAGGAGTAGAGAAGAAGAGGAGAGAATCTAAATACACAGGGATATGGGATTACCTTGTGCAGGAGAGGTAATTGTTCAGGTAAGGAGGTTTGAGGGAGAGAGAAATAGGAGTTGCAGCTCTCAATAAATGATCATTCTCATTTAGAATCCCTGGAATTAAAAGCAGTTACACAGGCAGGAAGAGAGTCTGCAAGAAGACCTAAAGGGGAACTAGAAACTGTAGGTGTCAGTCCCTCTTTAATGTTTAGAGTGCTGACAGAATCAGGGCCTGGCATCCTGCTCTTCCACATTAGTGGTGTTAGGAAGAGCTGGAATCTTTAAGTGCAGATAAGCAAGGACAGACAGTAACAAGTCCCTGAATCAGATGAGAGAAAAAGAAAGGCAGTCTTGTCACTGCCACCTGTCACCAACTTTGCTGAGGCTTCTGTCTTAGAGATTTTACTCTTAAAAAACTGAGTGTTCTTACAACTGTCAAAATATCTCTGGACTTCCATACAAGGAAGTTTATCAGACAGGGGACACTCACCGTGGACCTATGGTACTGGCACTGGCAGCAGCAGCAGCTAGGGAAGCAAGGGTGGCAATGATGCTTTCTTTTGGGGGGGCTCCACAAGCAAACAGTTTTGTTGTAGCATGGCTTGCTGGGGGACAAGCTGTGGGCTTTTTCATCTTCTACTCCTTTCCCTGACTCCTGGGGGTCTGGGCAGCTGGGGAAGTGGTTTTCTCCCAGCCTTTCCATGATGCAGCCTTGCAAGCTGGGGATGACATGGCCATTCGATGGGAGGCATGTACACTACATGGTGCTTGTTCTCCATTGTTAGGTTGATCCCTCTCATTGGCCTGATCCATAGGCTCTCCCTGAATTTTGAACTCTCAGCATCTTCCTGGCCTTGGCCTCAGTGTCCCTTGGGTGAGGAAGACAGAGATCACAAGACATCTTTGGCACCACAACTTGAACAAGCAGCTCAGGTACTGAAATTAGAAGCAAAGATATATGTTGAGAAGGTGTCCTCATGCTTCTGGGGATTTCCAGTGTCCCTGCAGAGACAGCTGTCAGCATGGGCACAGGTTTTTTTGGGTGAATCCTTTACAGATGCCAAAGGGACATTCCCCACAGTGGTGTCTGTGGCCTCTGGCAGAGGGCGCCTTCTTTTAGGGGCCCCATGTGACTGGCTGAAGGAGGTGCCTGCCTGGCATCCAGGTTATCCATTGTATTGTAGGCTCAGATCCGGCACTGCAAACTCTCCTTGGTAAGGATGGAGAGCAAGGTCCAAGAATGTATTCACTGGAGGTCATTTGGGGCCACCTTGAGAAGCCACTTGGGACCTCCTCAAGTGGACATCTGGGGCCTCCTTGAGAGATGATCTGGTACCTCCTTGGGAGGTCATCTGGGAGATGTGGTACATGTCGGTTAGTGCCTATGGCTACTAGGCTGTATGTGCTTGTTACTAGTTCTGTGTCCTGTATATGCCTCTGAATACTCCTTTTTTCCAGGATTAGAGAACAATGTCCTAAAGTTCTCGTAAGCAAAACTGTAACTAAAGATCTTATCCCCCAGTGTTACAGGAGCCCCCCGGAGGAGGACCACTGGTGTACTTTCCCTCCTATTCTGTGCCATCAGTACCTCTGATGTTAAGTCCCAAAAGGGGTTCCTTGTACCAGCCTGAGGTGGTACAAGGTGGTACAGTCCCCTTATTACTCTTGAGACAGATGGTAGGCAAGCCCCCTTTCTAGTGTATGTTCCCTTTACAGCTAGTGACCTGTATAACTGCAAACAGCAAAATCCACCCTTTTCTGAAAACCCTAGGGGCTCATCTGCTTATTAGCAACAGAATTTTTCACACACCAGCCCACCTGGGATGATTGTCAGCAACTTTTACAGGTGCTTATCACCTGGAAGGAAAGGGAGCAAATCTGGCGCAGGGCCTTGAAGGCAGTCCTTGGACCAGAAGGTTCTCCCTTAGACTCGCCCAAGCTGGGACTACAACAGTGACTGAAGTAAGGAGGCGCTTGCCAATTATCACCAGACTCTGTTAACAAAGATATGGGAAGCAGCCTGGAAACCAACGAATTTAAGGTGAATGAGACTATACAGCTCCCCAGTGAGTCCCCTGCTGCTTTTCTAGAACATCTTTTGGCGGCCTATAGATCCTGAGGCCCCAGAGAATCAAAGAGCCCTAAATATGGCCTTCATTATGCAGTTGGCCCCAGATTTTAGAAGAAAGCTTCAAAAGTTAGAAGGTTTTGAGGGAAAGGTGTTGATAGCAGTCACCCAGTGGGTTTTTGATCATAGAGATACCCTGGAAGAAAAACAGTCAAAGAAGGGAGTTAGTATTGGAGTTAGAAGCACCAGGACAGGAATCAAGAAACCCTCAGTGAAGACAGTATGATTCATTTGTACATGGCAATAGGGAACCTCTAGGACTAGACCAGGGTGCTTATTGCAAGCAAAACAGACATTGGAAAAAGGAATGTCCAAGGAGGAGAAAGATGGAAAGTGACAGATTAAGTAAGCCACCTGGAAACTGCGTTCATACCGCCTGAGAAACATTGAAAGGAGCTCACGACTCTGAAATCCAACCTTGTTGAACTTAAAAATCAGCTCTCTGAACTTAACAAAAAATGTGGTGAAGAAAAAATTCGCACACTCCTGTCTGAAAACACTGGCTTTAAAAAAGACTCTGAATCTCCAATACGAGCTAGTCAAAACCCATGAAGGGGTTAAAAGCACATTGAACAACACACTGGAGAAAACCAAGAGAATTATCTGACATGAAGAAAAGATTTGAAGATATAAATCAGGAACTTGTAAGAGTCAAAGATGAGAACAAATCCTCAAAGTGAACCTGGAAAACACTCAGAATCAAATAAAATCCAAGTACATCAGCCTGGGTGAGCAAGAGGCAAAGCTGGGGGTCACAAGTCAGAGACTGAGGGAGGCACAAGATGCCAATGCTGCCATCCTTGCTGACTACAAGCATGGCCAGGAAGAGATCCTGAGGCTGCATGCAGAAATCAAGGCCCAGAAAAAGGAGCTGGACATGATACAAGAATGTATTGGGGGCTGGGAAGGTGGCTCAGTGGTAGAGCGCTTGCCTTGCATGCCTGAGGCCCTGGGTTCGATTCCTCAGCACCACATAAGCAAAAAGAACAAAAGCCGGAAGTGGTGCTGTGGCTCAAGTGGTAGAGCGCTAGCCTTGAACTGAAGAGCTGAGGGACAGCACCCCAGTCCAGAGTTCAGGCCCCACGAACGGACCCAAAAAAAAAAAAAAAAAAAAAGAATGTATTGGGCTGAAGCTTTGAAGAGTGTGAGTGGAAATTCAAAGCAACAGAGAAAGAATTGAAAGAGCAGTTAGCAGAGCAGACATAGAAGTGCTATATCAGAGAACAAGAGGCCAAGAAAAAGTGAACAGGAAAGCATCAGCCTCAAGAAAGAGATTGTTACTCTTCAGATAGAGTTAAAGGACACACATGCTCCGATGGGGAATGCCCAGGAAATGGAAGGAGCATTAGGCAGAAAAACAGAACAACTAAACAGTTGAAAGATCTGTCACAAAAATATACTGAATGAAAAAACAAAGAGAAGCTACTAGAGGAAAAGGCCAAACAGACTGCCAAGATCATCACCATAACTGTAATGCAGAAGCAGCATGTCCCAAGGGTGGAGGTACAAAAAAAAACCCAAAAAACAAAAAACCTCTCAATAGCACCATTGATAATTTAAAGGAGGAGCTGAAGAGCAAGCAAAGGTGCTGTGAGAAGGAGCAGCAGTTGGACAGTTAAAAGAACTCTTCTGCAGAACACCTGCAGGTTAAGGAGAAGGAGATTGGGATCATGTAAGTGAGCTTGAGAGAAAAAGAGGATACAAAAGAAGTCTCCAAGCTCCAGACTTAAGGTTCAGAGTACTAAACAGGAGTTAAAGAAACTAGAGACCTCTGAAGTTCAGGGAAACAACTGGGCTGATCAGGAGGCCACCCTAAAACCAGTGGGGCCTCTAGAGCTACTAGTCATTAAGATTAAAGGAAGAAGCAAAAACAGTGGTAACAAGTGTGTAATTGTGGAGACTGCACTTGGGAAAAATCATTATAGGCTCAAGCCTTCTGTCTGTTTATATCTGCCAGTTTGTATCTAGTTATTTGGCACCCTGATAAATTGCCCCAGGCCACTGCCTAAAACTGTCTTGAAAACCAGTGGGGCCTCAGCCTGACAAGCCTAATGTAGAAAGTTGCCAAAATGCTGGAAAGCTGGAACATGTGAAGAGGGTGCATACGTAAGGAACCTCACCTGGTGAATTGGGGGAGTATGGGGTATGGAGGTATGGGCATCTGTTAGTACTAATGGACACCTTTTCAGGCTGGGTCGAAGCATTCCCAACAAAAACCGAAACTCCTCAGGTAA